CATTTAAGAACTAGAGGTAAGTTGTATGTTTCATCATTGCTACACTGCACCCTGACTGGTTTGCCTCCTCCTGCGACCCTTCTGTAAGGGAATGTCCAGTTGCCTACAGATGGACTTTGGGTCCCCACTCTGCACTCCCCATCAATCACAATGATTTTTTGTCTTTGATGCCTGATACCTGACCTGATTCTATTTTGTATGTGGGCCCTCTAGCAGATTAAAAGACTTGGGCCCTGTGGCAGCTTATAAAAAGACTATCAATACGGTTCTTAATTCTTTCCTTCAAGATGATATTTGGGACCAAAAAGACCAAACCCAACATTTACAGGTCATCAAATATCAAGTAAATGGGTCCGACTAGAGCTGCCATACACCCACAGAAAATAGTGTGGTCCCTGCAGTCTGACATTGTTATGAAAGGTTGGGGCTCATGCTGGCTTTTCAAGGGTCAGATAAAGAAGAGGAAGGGCACACGCCTGTTGAGGAGGAATAGCGGGGCGGGGGTGGGGGTAGCCACTAAATTGTGAGAAGCCAAGTTCTCGAGGGAGCAGTGTTTGAAATGGAAGATTATTGGGGGAGTCTTGGGTTCTCATGTGGAGAGCTGTGAAAAAGTGTGGATTAAGGCTTTATCTTATAAATCAGAGTTCCTAGGCCTGTTATGAGGAAGAGCAGTTTCTATTTACAGCAGGGTCTTAAGAGTAATGACCAGATTTAGGGTGCAGGCAGAGCCCCAAACTACACATGGGAGAACCTCCAGTCATACTGGTCATGTAGTTAGAAGCTTGCAGTGAGCAATTCAAGAGCATGACTGGGATTGTTAAATCCTATCACAGTCTCCACTGTGATTTCGGTGAAGAAGGCAGGTTTGATAGTAGTGGCTTTGTCCCATGTTTTCCAACTATCACACCTACTTCCATTACTGCTGGCATTTTCCCCTCCTTTTCCTAATTAGGCATTCATTTTGTCACTTGTGCTCAGCTGATTTATAATTCTCATTTTCTGTAGAGAATGTGGGGCCATTGAAATTGTACCATGGTCAGGAAGGTACCTGAGTAACATTTTGTTGGTATTATTGAATTGGGGCAAGGAGAAATTAGAGGCTGGAAGCTTGATTAGTGGAATATTTTGTTAGAGTATGACTAGAGTTCAGAAAATAAGAGACTTCATTGTTGACGAATCTGTTTTAGAGTCAAGGGACAGTAATGCATTAAAAAAATGATAGCTGTATTTTGTGCTAAGTTGAATGTGCTCACCACGTAGCTTTTGGAGCTATAAATTAAATAGAAAAACAGGAATGCAGATAGCTTTTACCACACCTTACTATGTATACTTTGGGCTGCTTGTGCAAGGTCAGCAGTTTGAAACCACCTGCCGCTCCTCAGGAGACAATGATGCCTGAGACTCTCATAGAGTCAGTCTTGGAAACCCACAGGGGCAGTTCTACTCTGTTTTATGGGGTCACTGCGAGATGGAGTCAGTCCAACGGCAGTGAGTTTTGTGAGAAAGCTGGCAAGAGAGATAATGAAGTATAGAAAATCAGGAAGGCCTACAATGGAAATGCTTTTATGCTGATAAAACTATCACTGCTACATTCGATTAGGCTCATGCCATCAAACTTGTGAAATCTAGCTCTTGACAGCACTGCCTTGTTTGGTCAGGTCTTGCAAAATTTCGGCCCTTGGCAGAAAATGAATTCTAGGAAATGGTAAGACTGCAATCTAATCTTACCCCTTTGCTAGCACTCATTTTAGTGAACATATTTGCATCTTCACTGCCTGATACATACTGGCTTTTGCAGATTTTACTGCATCTTGGGGGTTTGATTTAATCTCATGATATAGCTAGATTACTGTACTTAACCGTTATTATTATTCATTTACAAAGTAGGCCTGTTTTTCTGTAGTACAACATTTCTTGAAGTAGAGTCCATGGACCCCTGATGGTCTATGAGGTCAAAACTGTTGCCGTAATCATGCTGCATTCTCATTCTAGAACCAAAATGGTGATGGGTGAAACCATTGGATTGAATCCAAACCATCCAAGGGGGCTTCAAAAGATTTGTGGGAAGGCCCATTATTTATATATATTTTTTAATTAAATACTTTTATTGGGGGCTCTTACATCTTTTTTTTAAATCATTTTATTGGGAGTTTGTACAACTCATCACAATCCATACATCCACCCATTGTGTCAAGCACATTTGTACGTTTGTTGCCATCATCATTCTCAAAACATTTGCTTTCTACTTGAGCCCTTGGCATCAGCTCATTTTCCCCTCCCTCATGAACCCTTGATAATTTATAAATTATTATTTTGTCATATCTTACACTGTCTGACGTCTCCCTTCACCTACTTTTCTCTTGTCCATCCCCCAGGGAGAAGGTTATATGTAGATCCTTGTAATCGGTTCCTCCTTTCCACCCCACCCTCCCTCCACCCTCCCGGTATCTCCACTCTGACCACTGGTCCTGAATGGGTCATCTCTCCTGGGTTCCCTGTGTTTCCAGTTCCTATCTGTACCAGTGTACATCCTCTGGTCTAGCCAGATTTGTAAGGTAGAATTGGGATGATAGGGGGTTGGTGGGGAGGAAGCATTTAGGAACTAGAGCAAAGTTTATGTTTCATTGTTGCTACACTGCACCCTGACTGCCTTGTCTCTTCTCCGTAACCCTTCCGTAAGGGGATGTCCCATTGCCTACAGATGGGCTTTGGGTCTCCACTCTGCACTCCCCCTCATTCACAATGATGATGCCTGATACTTGATCCCTTCGACACCTCGTGATCATACAGGCTGGTGTGCTTCTTCCATGTGGGCTTTGTTGTTTCTGAGCTAGATGGCCGCTTATTTACCTTCAAGCCTTTAAGACCCCAGGCGCTATATCTTTTGATAGCTGGGCACCATCAGCTTTCTTCACCACATTTGCCTATGCACCCATTTGTCTTCAGCGGTCGTGTCGGGAAGGTGAGCATCATGGAATGCCAGTTTAATAGAACAAAGTGTTCTTGCATTGAGGGAGTACTTGAGTGGAGGCCCAATGTCCATCTGCTACCTTAATACTAAATCAGTACATATATGCACGTAGATCTATTTCCACATCTTCATATATAAATATATTTACATTTGTACATGCCTGTATTTAGACTTTTATAAATGCCCTTTACCTCCTAGCTCTTTCTTCTATTTCCTTTTACTTTCCTCTTGTCCCACTCTCATGCTCAGTCTTCATTTGTGTTTCAGTGATTCCTTTTAGTTACATTACCCTTGATCAATCCCCACCAGGCCTCCTACACCCTCCTCACCACTGATTTGGATCACTTATTGTTCTCTTGTCCTTGGGTTTGTTAACACCACTACCTTCCCCCCCTCCCCCTCTTCCATGTCCCCCCTGCACTGTTGGTCTGGTTGTTTTCTCCTCCAGATTGTTCATCCAGCCTATCTTATTTCCACAGACCTGCGGAGATAATAACATGTACAAAAATTAGAGAGAGCAAAACCAAGCAACAAAATAAAACAACAACAAGCCAATGACGAAAAAACAAAACAAAATACAACAAGAAAGAAAAGCTTGTAGTTAGTTCAAGGACTGTTTGTTGGCCTTTAGGAGTGTTTTCCGTTGAGTCTCTTGGGGCACCATGCCCTGGCCCCAAAGTCTGTTTTTGGCATTTCCTGGGGACCTCATTGCTCTGTTCCCCTTGCTGTTCTGTTTCACGCCCTTAGTGTTTTGCTCTGGTGTGGTGGGATCAGATCGGGCAGAATTCCCACACTGTGTCTCCAGTGTTGTCCCCTGTAGGGCTCTGGGTCAGTGAGGGATGTCATGTCTCATAGTGGGGCCGGCCATGAGGTCTTCTCTGTGGATTGGCTGCTCTGAGCAGGAATATCGTTCTCAAGGGCTAGTGGGCCAGGATGTGCTCCACTCTCTTTTCCTCCCCCTTCATCTGCTCCCGTGTGCTCTGATCAGACATGTCCCTCTTCCTGAGCTGCAGATTCAGTGCTGTCCTCTGAAATAAATTCTTTTGGGGCGTGGGGCAGGTGTTCACGTAGTTGGGATTGGGGCCGGCTTCTCAGACCTCTCCACTAGCTCCCTGCTCCATGCCGGCATGTTGCGTTCACATCTCGAAGCACTGGGTTGAGGCTGTAAATCTTTGTAAAAGCAAAAAACCCTCACTTTTCTCCTGCAGAGCACCTGGTGCGCTGGAACCCCTGACCTTGTGGTTAGCCCAATTTATATCCCACTATACCACCTGGACTCTGACTAGCACAATAATTATCAGTAGATGTAATCCACATGACAGAAGAATTTGAGGGTCCTCAGTAAGTGTAAGAATGTAAAGGGTTTGAATTCATCCCAATGGTTGAACCTGAGGGCCTTTGCTGTAGCACTCACCACTGGTACATGAATGTTTGTCCAAGGATTGTTCATCGTCTCTTCTCCTTGGATTAGGATGACTAGGAGCAACCAAGAAGCGGAGCTGCAAGATTTAGCATCCTTGCTGGGTAGGAAATGGATGGCAACAGGGGAAACGTACTAACTTTGAGACCTCCACAATTTTTTTTGCTGTGTAAGCCACAGAAAGATTTAGGAGTAGATACAAATAGACATTTACTTAATTTGCTACGTACTTGAGGGCGATAGCACCCTATGGGTCACTCGTTTTTCCCGTCTAAGCATAATCACATAAAAAAGTTCCCCTGGCTGCAATTACATAATGTACCAGCAAAGGGGTATCCTTGTTGATAAGATAGTCAGTAATTGGTGAACATTAAGGTGTTAACCTTTATATAAGACATTTCCTTATTCAATATCAAGTATAAATTAAAATTTTCATATTTGTACCCGATTTTTTCACTTTTGTCATTTTTCAACCTCTTTTTCTCTCAAAGCTTTATTCTTGTCAGTTCATATGTGCTTTTAATGACTTAAAAAGTCATCCACATATTAAAGATTGCTAACTTTTATTCTGTCTCATTAATTGAAAACTGTTAGCTGTTAGCTTAGTTGTTTCATCTCATTTTGTGGACTTAAAAAAATGAATCTTCCTCCCCTTCTTTGTTCCCACATCACATGATAAAAATGGTCTCCAGTTTTTAATTCCTTTTGGATGCTTTTGTACAGACAGAAGTTTGTATGCCATCAATTTCACTTGTCACAAAATAGTCTTTTGGTTCTTTCCCCCAATTACTTGAAAATGTAAAACCCATCCTTAACCCACAGGTTATACAAAAACAGCAGCAGCTGGATTTGGCCCACTGACCTCGGTTTGCCAATCCGTAGATAACTTGCTATTAAACGTGTGGTACCCTGGGGGAATCTCGATCTGCAGGACGATCGCTTTTTCAAGAAAACCCGTAATTTTAGCCTGTATCAGATACGTAATTTTCTTATTTTATCTTTCAGCTGGAGTTAACCGGATTTCCTATTGGCCCGCTGATCCAGAAATAAGTTTGCTTACGGAGGCTTCTAGCTCTGAGGATGCAAAGTTAGATGCCAAAGCAGCGGAAAGATTGAAGTCCAACAGCCGAGCTCACGTGTGTGTCTTGCTTCAACCCTTGGTGTGTTGCATGGTGCAGTTTGTAGAGGAGACCTCTTACAAGTGTGACTTTATTCAGAAAATTACAAAAGCGTTGCCGGATGCTAATATTGACTTTTATTCTGAATGTAAACAAGAAAGAATAAAGGAATATGAAATGTCATTTCTGGTTCCAAATGAAGAAATGCATAAGCAAATACTGATGACTACAGGCTTGGAGAACCTGTGTGAAAACCCGTACTTTAGCAATCTAAGGCAAAACATGAAAGACCTTGTCCTCCTGTTGGCCACGGTAGCTTCCAGTGTGCCCAACTTTAAACACTTCGGATTTTATTGTAGCAGTCCAGGACAGATTAATGACATTCACAATCAAAGTTTGCCGCAAGACATTGCAAGGCACTGCATGGTTCAGGCCAGGTTACTGGCATATCGAACTGGTGAGTCACATGCTTAGTTCATAAATTGGGGCTGATTGGGTCTTATCTGTCTCCGAAGTGTTCGTTTCTTCTACAGTAGCGTCCATTTACTCAGAGATAACCGAGGTTTTGCTGTGGATACACAGACATTAATGAGACCCCCGAGTAGACAACTCGTTCTCAGAGCGGTTTCAGGATTCCTGGTGACCCCTGTATTCAGCTCTCCACTTAGAAATCAGGGCCTGATGACCTGGGCCCTTCTCCCTCCTGCTTCCTGCTGTGTCCACGTCATTGCTTCCTCAGCTGTCCTCTAGGGATGGGCCACGAAGAGACAGGCAAGAGGACCCGAAGCACTCATTTCGGTTCACGCTCCCACATTTCATGAAAACATTAAAAATCTGTACAATAAAAACAATTCTTAAAAAAACGAAGGTAGTGTCAAAGCAAAGGATGAGTCCTTGTTGCAGGTTCTTTCTGTTGTGGCATGTCTTCAGTCAGGGTTGAGAAATTAAACAATTTTTACTTATGTGAAGTATGAATGTGCAAAAGGCAAAGGGAATTTCCTTTATCATGATAGAGTGGGCATGCGTTTCCAATTACGGAAAAAGGGTATTTTGACAACTGGTAAATCTTTTTCAAAATAGAATCTTGATCCTTTATAAAATGTCACCTTGAAATGAAAAAAATCATGTGCGTCAGAGAAGCAGTAGATTGATTTATCTGGGGAACGGACTAATAGTAGGATTTTAAAATTAAGAAAGGGAACAGAAAGAAAATCTTTTTAAAAATCCATCCAGATGCGCCCTGGTCTGCAGTATATTCTAACAGCGGCCCTTCAGACCACATCACACACTGCCATCAGGTCAGCTCCAATTCACAGCAACACTCGATACACAGTGTCTGAGCCCAGGCATTTTTAGACCTCATTTTCCTTCCTTAGAGCAGCTGGTGGGTTTGAACTGCTGACCTTGCAATTAACAGCCCAATGCTTATCCCACCATGCCACTAGGGATCCTTAAACAAAGGCTATTGGCCAAGATATAGGCAGAATGGAGGGTCTACCTGGCAGCCTATCAGAATCACCGCTGAAATGTATTAAAAAATGCACAAGTGCGCAGACTCTGCCCCAGACCTGCTAACGGAAACCTCAAGCATGCGCGCTAGGCCTATGCTTAAAAAAAAAAAACCGGCGTGCAATTCTGACACTGAACAGAGTTAATCATCAGTACAGTCCTGATGAAAGAATTTGGCTGATAGGAACAAGTGATATGCTTCCGGACAATCGTATAAAAGTCTGAGTTCTTGTGATTATTTTATATTGTAGGCTCTATTTTGTTCTCTGACAACACCAACATATTTTTCTCTAACTCATTCTGGAAGGACAGAAACAAATGGGAATACCGTATATACTCGAGTATAAGCTGAGTTTTTCCAGCACATTTTTAATGCAGTTTTTGTGGTAAAATTAGGTGCCTCGGCTGATATTCAGGTCGGCGTATACTCAAGTATATAGATAGCGTTTACAGCTACAATTGACTAATTCCCTGCTAATGAGACTCCAGGGAGCCTATGTTCCTGAGTGAGCGTAAGATGGGAGAGTGGATCTGCTGTTCTTGAACTTGATCTCAGAACCCATCGCTTCTCATATACAAACAGCATAGTGCATGCAATGCCCGTGTTGAAGGATGCACTAATGTGCAATATAAGTTTGCAGATAACTTCTTTTAAGCTAATTATTGTGAATTGGGTGAAACTTTACAGGGCAGATTTTTACCGAGTCTTACATTCAACAATGCATGTTCATCCTGATTCAGCTCATCCTTGGCAGTCCCTGCAGTGTACCATCACGTAGCCTGTCTCCTCCCTGTTTCCTATTTCCAGTCCTTCTTTCCTAACCCCCAGAACTTTGTCCAAGGGGAATGCTGCCTTTTTTATCATAAATGGTGGATTCTTCTAATGTGCAAATACACGTTTTCTTTTCTTTTTTTTTCAGGTGTTGTATATTACTGTGTAGCTAAGTGTTTATATAAAAAATGTCTCCACTATTACTATGCAGAGTTTTGTGCATAAAGCTTATGTACTTGATGGGCAGTTTAAAAGATTTCTCAAGATTAGCTTTGGCTATATGATTTTTGTGTGTGTGTGTGTGTGTGTGTGTGTGACTCAAACCCCAAAGGGGATATAATTTTATTGTCATGCATTCCATTTCACTGTCAGCTCTTCCGGGGAAGACACCATGTCTTAACGGTCTTCTTTGCCTGAATAGTAAGCAGCGTGTATTGAGTGGCTAAAAGAACTATTTCTGTAGTCTAAAATAATGATTGAAATCCCATATCCAAATCCTTGGACCATCTTAAAAAGATTTCAGGATTTTTCAGATTTTAGAAAAGTATGGTGCATATACTGTAAGTTACCTAACACTCTAGTGGGGCCCATTACGATACCTGGAGTAAAATATAAGCATAATTAAGGGCTATAAAAAATTCAGGTCAGACTTTGCCACCAAGTAGGATTGTACCAGACTCTCAAATGACTTTATATAATGGATTTCAGATAAGGAATTGCGTATTTGTATTCTTCATTGATGATCACCAAAAAACAAAAACATAAGCCCATTACCACTCAGTTGATTCCAATTCAGCAGTCCTATACAGTAAATCTTTATGGGAGAAGACAGCTTCATCTTTATCCCGCAGGGCAGCTGGTAGGTTTGAACTATCGACTTTGCAGTTGTAGCCCAATGCCTAACCCATGGTGCCACTAGGGCTCCTGTACCCACACAAAAACCCACTAACATTGAGTTAATTCCTTTCAAAGAAACCTTCAATAATAACAATAAAAATCATTGAGCATTTATTGTGTCTGGCATAGGTGGTTTATATGTACATCTCATTTAATAACAATCCAACCAGTTAGACCCATGATATAACGTGCTACCAATAATTCAACCTCTTAACTTCATATTGTTTTGTCTACTTCTACAATTTTATTTCTCCCTGATTGACAGGGGAAGAAACCATTTCATTTAAAAAGTGTACATGATTTAAATGAATCCAGAAATCTCTAACAATAGAGCTCTAAACCTAATTGGAAATGGGTGATGAAGAATTGTTTTCTTGATGATGACTAAGGAGGATCCACCAAGAGTATCTTTCTCAGATGCACTAGGTCTGCAAAACTTGTGACCACAGTTTTGGCAGGCTGTAGGTGGCAGGGTCGGCCCTCACATTTTAGCTCTCTGGTTCAACTCTTGACTTTTCATCTCTTTTTTTTTCCCATTAGCGTAGGCGTTTTCCAAAGTGAAGGATAATGTCTTCCTCCTAGTCCACAGTGTTGCCAAAAGTGGACTGGAGTAGCCATGAAAGTTAACTATTTCAAATTATAGCTCAGTATGTTTTAGTATACTTAAGGCATCACATAGGCGCCCTGATGATGTAGTGGTTACGAGTTGAGCTGCTAGCCACAAAGTCAGCAGTTCAAAGCCACCAGATACTCCGAGGGAGAAAAACAGGCTTTGTACTCCAACCCTTAAAGAGTTAAAGGCTCAGAAACTCACAGGGGCACCAGGAGTCGGGATTGACTCGTGTCAATGAGTTTTGTGTTTTAAGCATCACACCGGGGCTGATCAGAAATGAGATTTCCCGAGTTCTGCACGTCATCAGCCTGTTACCTTAACAAGTACCCCAGAATCTGGTGTAAGTGGTCAGGGGACCATGCTTGTTTTCTGGAATTATAGGATAAATATTTCACCGTGACTCAGTCGTCGAAGAGTCCCAAGAAGTTGGTTCTGTGATTGGAAAGTGACCCTTCCTTCAAAGTTGTATGTGAATGACCAGAAGACAGCGATCAAGTTCCGTAAAAGCGACAAGAGTTTTCAAAAGTTCCCTCCTCCATTGCTCATCTTGTTGTTCTCTTGGTGCCACTAGGCAGTGAAGGTACATGCTGATGGAAAATCACCTTTTCCTCGTGAAACAGAAGACGTATCTCCTAATGCAAAAAAACCCCCACAACTATATCTATATGAAACATAGTGTTGTTGATGGGAGGAAACGGTGACTCTTCCTATGAAGTATCTCTATCTTGGTTTTTCCATTTTTTTCTTCTGAATTTCTACTTGTATAAATGACAACTTTACCTACTGTAAATGTTTTGGCTTTACAGGGAAATATACCTCTTACTTTTATACCTTCCACACTTGCTTTAGATGCTAAGTTCTGAAAGTGTAGGAAAGAACAAAACTTTGTTCACACCCGAATCTCTTGAATGTCAGTCACCCCTCTGTAGGAAAAAACAACAACCCCTCATGAAGCCTGCTGGGCAAAAGAGAAGGCTGTCCATTCCCCTAAAGATCTGCAGCTTTGAATGCCCAATATAGGGCCGCTCGGAGTTGCAATCAGCTTGATGGAAGTGGCTAGGTAGTCTGTGTCCCACCTCCTGTTCGCTTCCTTCATTGCAGAATAAATAATAGAAGTACTTGCCTTCTTGTCTACCCCCTTTGTCAAATAGCTTCATAAGGATGGGACCTTTCCTCTCCCTTACCACTCACTGCATCGTCAGCCTATCCCAGCACTTAGTACCAATTAGACGGACACATTTACTTAATTTTTCTGTGCCACATTTATCGTCTAGAAATGGACATTTTACCTGGAGGGGGAACATGAGAAAATGGATAGAGTGCTTAAGGTCATTATATGAATACTTTGGATTATAATTTTTTAAGTGTGAGCTGACTTGAACTGAAGATAAAGAATTTTATTATAGTTAAAATATAGGTAGAAGACATTTCCATGTTAAAAAGATATTTAGAAGATATTTCCATTTTAAATACAGATTGGCACAAACTTTTGGGGAGTTGTACTGGAAAAGTAAATGTTTAAATAGATTTTTATTAGAAGGATGAACTTTTTTAGGATATCGTAATATGAAGCCAGTTTCATATAATGGTTAGCAGCATGAAAGTGCTCTATGGTAGCTTCACAGATCCTGATTTTCTCTGCAAATATACCCATTTAACTACATATGCATCTTGCTACAAAGATTTTGGTAAATCATATGACTTTCATAATTAGTGAATATTGCCCTTAGATATTTGAAACTCTTGGGTTGGTAGGAGAAAAAGTGGATCCTTACTATGTAGTTTCTGTTTGGGGTTTAAAATTTTCTGTTCCACGTGATATTTTTAAGAAGTATGAAACTTTTGGTTCTTTAGGGAAATTACAATTCTGTGCTTATAGCTTCTAACAGTGATTTAGAAATGAGCCCAAGGTCACTAACGTATCATTCATTTTCCCCTGAAGTAAGCTGGGAAGGCCAAGGAAGGAACAGAATCTTATTTAAACTTAATTCCTTTGATATATCTTCCAGGAATGTAGACTTAAAAGCCAATTGAGATTTGTTCATTTAGAAGTTTGAATTTTTTCCCTTAACAAGATCATTTCAATAAAATGTAGTTTTTGTGACTGGAAAAAAAAAAAAAGACCTACTCCTGACTCATAGCAAGCCTATACAATTGTGGTTTCCAAGGCCGCACATCTTTATGACCGCAGACCACCCCATCTCCCTCCCAGAGGAACCGCGCCCTGGTGTTTGTACTCCAACTCTTAGCAGAGATCCCTTTTTGATGACTAGAGTATTCAAACGCTGAGTTACAAGTTTGATTTAATGAGTGGTTCTTACTATAAATCCATTAGTTCAGAAAGTACTTTTAAATTGATGTCATATCTGTTGAGGAATATTCACAATGAAACGGATTTGTTAGTAGAAAATAAAAGTACATTTCATTCTGCTTACAGCTTTGCAGGGACCTGACTCAGGTACTGCCATCCCAATGACTTCCACTTACAGGTCATTTGTGGCTGGACCTGTAGCAGCTTCACCTACTTATCTGGTAACTTGCTCTCATATTGTACACTTAAAAGCAGGTATTTTAATACATTTCTATAATTAGAAAAGCTGTCAGGAGTTACTGCTACATTTGTGAAGTATGTTTCAGTAAAAGTAGTTATTTTGGGGGGAAAATACACAGATGTTACTTTTTACTGCATTAAATGCCATTTATCTTTCAGAGGATCATAAAACAGGAGTTGGAGCAGTCATTTGGGCAGAAGGGAAATCTGTAAGTATTAAAAATATTTTTGACAAACATTTAACTTGGATTTTAGTTATACATAGTTAACTCTCAAGTATATTTTATGGATTCCTTTTTCATTAATATTTTTTATTGGTTCATTTATTAAATTCTATAAACACTTGCTCACTGTCCCAACAGCTTACTAGCTATGTACCTTCATTTAAGTAATATTTATTGATTTATTTAAAATAACATTTATTAAACACTTCTCAAGAGTAGGCAGGAGTGCAAATGATCAAGCACTCAACTGCTAGCTAACAGGTTGGGCATTTGAACGCAGCTACAGGAGCCTTCGAAGACAGGCCTGGTGATCTGCTTAAGTCACAGCCCTGGAGACTCTGAAGGCAAAGTTCTACTTTGCACACAAGGAGCTGCCTCAAGTCAGAATTACCTTGAGAGCAACTAACAGCAGCAACAAAGGGTGGGCATTTTGTCACACTGGGCACCAGGGATTTGAAAAGTACATTTTCCATCTTTCCTGGCCTCCGTCATAGTCAATGAAGACAGAAAAGCCAAAAAGAAGACTAGTCTGTAAGTATAATTATAATACGGCACAGTGAGAAATTAGAGGAGCAATCTTGACTGTGCTTGGAGGAATTAGGAAAATACGCTTTATTGGTTAACAGATTTTTGGCATATAATTCATGTACCATACAATTTAATGGTCTAAATATATCAAAAAGAGTATTTTTACTAATTCTCGAACATTTTTTTCATTCTTGTACCCATTATTATTTGCTTCCAATTTCCCCCCACCCCCACCCCAAACCTCCTTGCGATAACCCTAAGGAAGACTAGTTACTGTTTCTAAGGATTACCTGTCTGGAATTTTATATAAAGAAAATCATACCAAAAAAAACCCCAGTGATGACAATAAAATAAAACACAGAAAAAGATCCAAAAGAAAGAAGGTAATAGAAACTAGAGCTAGTTTTAAAAGGCCAAGGGGGAAAACATGATAATACAGTAAGGTTTAACCTAACTATATCTACAGTAATCCACTACCCAAAACACTATCTGAGGTCAAGATTAATCACAACCCTAGACAGTGCTCTTGGGGAGACCAATAGAGGATTAATCTGAATGGGGACTCTGCAGATAGATTTTGAGTGTTCACCGTCATTCACAGCCTTCTTCACATCGAGTGCTCAGAAGTTAGTCTAATACAATTCCCTTCTCTGCTCTTGGATTTTATTCAGGAAGTAGACGTTCATTAAAAAAGAATTCCAATGAATCTACCAGGTCACATTTTTAGTTCAACAGAAATTATCTACTCAAATGGTTCCTGGCTTTGTTAACCAGGAGCACAACACAGAACACAAAAATGAGTTAATCAATGATTATTTATTGCGTGCTTGCTGTATGTTTGATACTCTAAGAGGTGTACTTGAGAGGATATATAATATAACACTCTCCAGGATCTTACAATATACGTGGAGGGAGATATCTGACTCAGTGAAACAATTTGCGATTTAAATAAGATCATAGTTAATTAATCACAAAAGTCAAGTACTGCCTTGATTGTAGAGATTAGACCGGTTTGCTCTGGCAAAACTAGGCTACATTGGGAAGATTTCATACTGTGTTTCTTGATGACTCTCTTATGGAACATTTAGCGAACATCCTGTATGCAGAGTGCGATGAAAAGCTTTTAAAAAGAGGTTGCAAAGTGTCTCTTCAGGGTTGGAGACTCAGTTGTGTTGCTTTGCTCACTCGTAGAGAAATTGCGATGGCACGGGAGCGCTGTACTTCATAGGCTGTGGTTATAACGCTTTTCCTGTTGGATCCGAGTATGCAGACTTTCCGCACATGGATGACAAACAGAAAGACAGAGAAATAAGGAAATTCAGATACATTATACATGCCGAACAGAATGCCTTGACTTTTAGGTACGATACTCTTTTACATGTATTTTTCTAAAATAATACTTTATTGTGTTTGGGGTGAAAGTTTACATAGAATGTTAGGTTCCTTTTGAACAATCTCCATGCAAATTGATCTATGATATTAGTTACATTATTTTTCACATTGTCAACATTCTCATTGTGTTCTGGTTGTTCCGTGTCCAGTATTCTAGTTTCCCTTACCTTTTATCATCTCATCATCTTTGCTTTGTTAAAAAAAAATGTTAACCTATTGGACTTACATAGATTCTTTTTAAAAGAGCATGAGTCTAACAGGCCAGATCCTTTATTTTAATATGTCCTACTTTTCTGTTAAAAGGTTAATTTCAGAGCAAGAGGTAGTTTTGGTTCAAGATATGAAGAATATCTCAGGGCAGTACTTTTAGATGGTCCTCTGAGCACAGTAGTCCAATGTATTAGGCCATTTTTTAAAATTTGAGTTTTGTTTTGCATTTTTCAAGTTCTAACCAGAAACATCTAGTGTAGCCCCGGTTAGACCAATCCGTGGTGGCCAAGAACCATCCCTTCTTCTGGGCTCCGGGTAGGTTGTTAGGTAGCTTATCCGTCCTGAGACTGTTTCTTCTCTGTTAGTTTGGTTGCTTTCTTACTGTTTTGCATGCAGTTTTCTTGAAAATACAGGTAAAGTTACTTGCAATTTGTTATTGTTTAGTTGTATTTTATTCCTTAACTCTTCTAATGTATTCAGCAAGTGTTTTTTCTTCCTTCTCTCTTCCATCTGAAATGGATCCAAGTTTATCCTTAGATTCTTGCTTGAGCTTTCAAATTTCTTGATCTTTGTTTTCTAAATCTGGAGCATATTTATTTGTGAATCTTTCGATTTCATTCCAAATCAAATTGCTTAAAATAATCTCGTGGGGATTGTGAAATTGGACGTTGAGTAAGGAAGACTGAAGAGGGACCGATGCATTTGAATTGTGGTGCTGGAGAAGGATGTTGAAAGTACCATGCCCTGCTCAAAGAAGAAGCAAGTCTGTCTTGGGAGAAGCACAGCCAGAATGCTCCTTAGGGGCAAGGATGGCAAGATTGTATCCATGATCTTTGGCTGTATTATCCGGAGAGCCCGTTCTTAGGAAAGGACATCATGCTAGCTACAGGGGCAGCAAGGAAAGAGGGAGATGGATTGGCACAGTGGCTGTCACAGTGGACTCAAACATAACAATTGTGAGAAAGGCATAGGACCAGGCAGTGTACATAGAGTGCTGTGAATCAGAACGGACTCCGTGGCACCCAACAACAAGATTGGGTTACATGTTGGGTGGCTAACTGGAAGGTTAGCAGTTCAAGCCCACAAGCTGCTCTGTTGGAGAAAAATTAGACTATCTGCTCACTTGAAGATTTACCGCCTGTTTCTTGCTTGCACCATGACAGAAATGTCCTCCCTTGCCTTTTAAATAGTCACGGTGGTCTTTATTTCTTACACATTATTTGTATTTTTATTTCTGCATTATTATTATTTTATCCTTACAACTTTATTTTGTTTTTGTTTTTATTGTTTCTGTTTGGTTTTTCAGTTTGTGAAGGAGTAGATACATAGAGATAAGAACTGTTGTAAGGGTTTATAGGAAAGGTAGGGAGGGGTGAAAGATAGGGAGGGCGAGGGTGTTGGGGAGAAAACAATATATGTGGGAAGGGGAGGAAGCACTAGAACCGATGGTGATTATTCAACTAATTTAAAAAGTGCTTTAACCATGGGGTGTGTGTGTGTGTGTAAAAATATTCTAAATTGATTGTGGTGATGATTTTACAACCCTTCTTGATATGATTGAACTATTGAATTGTTTGATAAAAAAAGATTCACAGCCTTAGAAACCCCATGCAGTTTGGTCATTTTTGATAAGCAAAGTTTAAACGGACCTAACTCTAACCTGCCATTGCGTCCATTCTGACTAATAGTGATGCTGTGGGACAGAGTAGAATTGCCCCTTGTGGGTTCTGAGACTGTGAATCTTTACAGGAGCAGAAAGTCACATCTGTCTTCCACAGGTCAGTGGTGGTTTCAAAGTGCTGACCTTGTGCTTAAAAGCCCTTTATTTAACCCACCGCATCCCCAGTGTTCCTATCAGTGGGTTAAAGCAGGAAAAGGCATCATGTGCCGAGGGAGATGAATAATGAGTGTGGAGTCAAGGGAAATGAAGGCCAAAAGAACAGGTTGGGACAGTATTCTGGACAGTATTCATAAAGGACTTTGCATTTAAACTGTGGAGAAATTGAGTGGCAGAGCTATGCAGGCATCCTTCAGTATCCACAGGGGATTGGTCTCAGGAGCCCCTTGGATACCGAAATCCTCATATGCTCGTCTCTAAAATAAAATGGCATCGTATTTTCTTCCTATTTTTTTTTCCTTCATATTTTCATATAATGTATGTCATCCTCCTGCTTCTTTAAATCATCTCTGGATTACATATAATATCGAATATAATGCAAATGCTATGCTAATTTTACCTTATGCCTCCTCTTAGCCTTTGAGGGGTTGCTTTGACCACTTGATTGTTTTTCAGGAACCATGTTCCACAGAGGTAAAGGGTGCACGCCACAAGTAGTAGACAGGCGGCATGAGGTGAACAACACTCAGACAATAAAGGCTGGAGAGAGACTGAGGCGTTGTGAAATGGTGGGAGGCTACTGCAGGCTAGCCCGACACATCACTTCATTCTTGTGGACTTTCTGGAATCCCGCCCCCCACCTCCACCCCATCACCCCAGAATCTGCAGATTTGGAGGGCCAACTGTGTGCTAGAGACGCTTCACATCTTGTTTTGACGAGATGCTTAGACATCTGTTGCTCCAGTTCCAGTGAGCAGTAATGAGGGTCGGAACCAGAGAGACACATCTGGAAGGCTGAGGTTGAAGACCGCGGCCTGAGAGCAGGGAAAATGTAGAGCACGGAGTTTCAGGCCTGGCAGCCTCGCATGAGAGTGCTCCTTCATTCTGGACTTCCCAGCATGCCAAGTTTCACAGAAACTCCTCATTACAGATCTGCTCCACATTGCGCAGAGCTCAGATAAGTCAAATCCAAACTGTCTTAAGGAAACCGAGTTAGGGAAGGGGTAAGGGATCTCAAAACAGAACCTAATAGATCCTTTTAGTAAGCGTGTGTTAATCATTCACTCAGTGCGAGATGGAGGCTAGGTTCTTGACTACCACAGTGAGCTAATGCCTGATAATGCATGGCTAGGTTTTAAGGAAAATGTTAGTTTTAAGCTTCATTCTGGCATTATAAAGAAGCTCTCTATTTACTTCCCATTATTTTCCCTATTTACCTCTATCTTTCTCTTTTTATTCCTTCCATTTAAAAAATTATTTTACTGTGGTATGTGAGGTGCAAAGGGGCTTCAAAAAGTTCCTAGAAAAATTCCTTTTCTTTTAATTCCATTTTTTCCCACCAACTCTTTAAAGCCCCCATGTAATTTTAACATACTATATTCACTTATATTTACCAAAATCAATGTAAACATATATTTGTATTTATGTAAAATAAAACATGTTTCAGTTCAGCATTTACCTGTAGAGTTCAGTAGCATTGATTATGTTCATCATATGCATCTATCATTACTATTTGTTACCAAATGACTCCTCGACCATTCATAGAAATTCTGTGGCCCCTAAGCAATGACTCCCTTTCCTCCATCTCGCACCTTTGCTAACTACTACTAATGTTTGATTTTTATATATTTGCCTGTGAAAGATATTTTAAACAACTAGGGTCCTAGAATATTTCTCCTTTTGTGACTGACTATTGTTGTCAGGGCTCATCCACGCGGTGGCATGCACCAGGCCTCATATCTTTTTACAACCAAGTAATGTTCCATCACATGTGTGTACCATGCTTTAACTCCTTCATGCTGTTTCTGTCTTTTGGCTCTAATGGATAGTGCTATGATGAACCCCCAAATGCATTATTTCTTTATTTTCATACAAGTCGCATCATGCTTCTAATGAAATTCCAGAAGAAGGTAAATAAAGGCTGGATTCTATTATAACCAGTGCGTCAGAACAAACTCCGGCTGGGGTCTGTCTAAACTGTCTATCTTCCAGAACCGTGGCAGAGCAGAGAACTGGCTCAGGCCAGTTTGGTTAAATATCACTACTCGGTTCTTTTTTTATAAAACTCAAGTTTTAAGAGAGCATCTAATAGCTATTCAGTAAATACTGCTTAAACAAAGAGGCAGGTTCGTGTAAATTACCTCTAGCAAACCTTGATACAATAAAAGTAAGTCTCATGCCAAACTCTGCCACACAAGCCTTTATTAGATCAAATGTTATCAGTAAGTAGGCATAAAAGTTCATATAACATGGAATCTCAACGAAGTCTCTCTTGGCATTCTGTGTGGCTTTCAGCAACCCAGGTTGTGTTCCCTGCATATCACACTGGACTGACACCTTCTTTGTACAACACAGTCCCTTTTCCCTCTAAATTTGAAAGATGCTGTTGCTGAGAATATGCACAGCAGAACTTTTACCAATTCAACAGTTTTTGCATGAATAATTTAGTGAAATTGATTACATGCTTCGGTTTGTACAACATTCTCACCCTCCTTTTCTGAATTGGTTCTCCATCATCGACATACATTTACGGGCCTCAAATTTTCTACCTGATCTTGTGAGTTGCTATTGTCAGTATGAGCCCATGTAGATCTTCAAGGAAGATAATGCTCCGGGGAGACTTATTTTTTTTACTAGTTGAGCTAAAATATTGTTCGGTTATAAAATAACAGCAGAGAATATATATTTTTAAATTTTATCTCAAGGCAACGGTTTCAGAGGTTCATCCACCACCCACCATTCAGAAAGTCTAGAGTCAATGAGAATTTGAGATTCTATTCTGTATTCTCTTTTTTATGAGAATTTTTCTAGTAGGTTCCTAGCCATGTAGTTTTTATGCTCTCATAGCAACTGAGGCAGTTAATCTTAGAGGGAAATAGTCACATATTCCATATTCCTCCTATTCCTGATTCTGCGTTCTCTGTTGCTCCAGATGAATGGAGACCAATTGTTATCCCTGCGATTGCTTCTAGCACGCTTTTAAGACCGTAGGCACACCGTAGGAGAGAGAACAGAAACACTGAACATGTTATTTGGCCAGCTAACTGGAATGTCCCATAAAGCCGTGACCCTAAGCCTTCAAACCAAGGAACCAAATCTCATGCGGTGGTGAGTTGTATCTAAACAGCCTCAGAAACGACTCCTTTTTGTTGTGGTGGTTGCCATTTGTAAATATGTCGCTCACACAACTTCACGAACTCGCCTTTTTACAGGTGTATAGCTTATTGACAACAATTACAATAGTCAGCTGTGCCTTAATCTTTGTGATTTTTGAATCACTGATAACCTCTCTCCCTACTCTTTCCTGCCCCTGGTAATATTTTTTTTTCTTGCCTTTTTTGTATGCTTGAGATCATATATTATTTATTCTTTTGTGACTGGTTTATTTCACTCAGCATAATGTCTTCAAATTCCATCATTTCTCCTTCTGTCTGAGTAGCGTTCCATTATATGTATGTATACATATAGTGCTACAATAAACCTTGGTGTACAAGTATCTTTTTGAATCTCTGCTTTCAATTTTTTTTTTTAAGTATAAACCTAAAAATGGAGTTGCTGGGTCATATGTTAGTTTTTTCTTTTTTAAGAAACCACCACAATGTCTTCTACAATAGTTGTACCATACCAGCAATAGATAAGGGTTTCAGTTTCCCCGCATCCTCAACATGTTATTTTCTATTTTTTATCTTAAACACACACACACACACACACACACACACAACTAAACTCACTGCCATTGAGTAGATTCCGATTCCTAGTGACCCTCTAGGACAGAGTAGGAAGCACCTCTGTGGATTTCTGAGACTGACTCTTCATAGTAGAAAGCCTCTGATTTGCTGTTTTCAGCCCGGTGGGTAACCCAGTACGCCACCAGAGAGAACTACCGTGGCTGGTAGTGACATACGGTAACTTCTGTGTTTCTTCCTGGCAGATCTGTGATGGCTAATAACAGCATATTTTCATTTGTTTGGTGACAGAACTCTGGTGAAATGGCTATTCAATATGATTGGAATGTTTTACCTTTTGTTGTTAAATTGCCACTAGGGAACTTTAAAAGTTTATTGAAAAATGGAATTAAAAGATAATGTTCTTTCCCCACAACCTTGCTTGTCGAAAGTGAGGAGGATTTGAAGCACTTGCTGATGAAGATCAAGGATTGCAACCTTCTGGATAGATTACAACTCAATATAAAGAAAACCAAAATCCTCACAACTGGACATTATGATAAATGGAGAAAAGATGGAAGTTGTCAAGAATTTCGTCTTGCTTGAATGTTCGTGGAAGTAACAGTCAAGAGATCAAAGGATACATTGCATTGGGTAAATCTGCTGTCCAAGACCTCCGAGGTGCTGAAAAGCAAGTGCTTCAAGTTCTCCTTACTTCCGGGAAGCAAAGTTGTGTTACCTTTATGTCACAGGTTGTTAAGAGGTCTTCCTCCAATCCTAAGGCTGCATTCTTCTTCATGTAACCTAGATTTTCTGATTATTTGCCCAGCATACAAATTGAATAAGTATGCTGAGAGAATACAACCGGACCCACGCCTCTCTTGGTTTTATTTTATATTTTTCTTTTCTTGATTTTAGAGCATGTAACATTTCCTTCTTCTGTCTGCACACTGCCTCTTGATTTATAGACAGTTTCCACATGAGTACAAGTGCTCTGGAATTCCCATTCTCCAGGCTATCCATACTTTGTTATTCTCCACACAGTCAAATGTCTTGGCATCATCAGTAGACACAAATAAACATCTTTCTGGTATTCTCTTCTTTCATCCAAGATCCATCTGACATCAGAAATGATATCCTTTATTCCATGTTCTCTTCTGAATCGGGCATGAATTTCGGGCAGCTTCCTGTCCATGTACTGCTGTAACCATTGTTGTATTATCTTCTGCAAAATTTTACTTGCCTGTGATATTAGTGACCTTGTTCTAAAATGTTTGCCCTCTTGGGTCATCTTTTTTGGAATGGGTACAAATAAGGGTCTCATCCCATCATTAGGCCAAATAGCTGTCTCCCAAATTTCTTGCCATAGATGAGTGAGTGAGTCCAGTACTTCAGCAACTGTTGAAATATTTGGTATTGTCTCAATTCCTGGAGCTTTGTTCTTGGCTAATGCCTTCAGTGCAGCTTTGACTTCTTCCGCACCATTGGCTCGACATCATATGCTACCTCTTGAAACTAGTTGAATTTCAACTACCATTGTTCTTTTGGAGCCACGGCTCCATGTATTCTTTACATCTTCTTTGGATACTTACTTTGTTGTTTTACTCATAGACTCTTTCGATCTTAAAACTTGAGGCTTAAATCTATTTCTGCATTTTCCCTTTCAGATTTCTCAGTGGTGTTGTTTGTTGATCTGGTGTTCATCTATTAATTCTTGCTAATAGAGTTTTCTCCCCAGCTCTTTAGGATTTTCTACGTATAGAATCATGTTTTACTTCTTTTCAAATCCGAATACTTTTGCTTCTTTTTCTTGTTGCTGTGGTAAGGATGTATAATAACATGTAAAACAAAAGGAGTGAGGGCAGGCACCTTTTTCTTGTTCCTGATTTCAAGGAATAAGCTCTTTAAAAAAAAAAAACCTTCCTCAGCCTTACTCCTGGGCCTTCTCGCTGTGGAGTGCCCTGGCATTGCCTGAGGATAGATAAGAAAGCCCGTGTCCCTCCCCAGGAAGAACCCACTTTTCTTCTGGGGCCTACACATTGAGCTAACAGTGCAAAAAAAACAAACAAAAAAACCCATTTTATTGGGGGCTCGTACATCCATCCATTGTGTCGAGCATATTTGTACATTTGCTGCCATCATTATTCTCAAAACATTTGCTTTCTACTTGAGTTCTTGGTCTCAGCTTCTCTTC